GCCATTTCATCAGATTTGTAAGGTAAATCATTTATAAATCCACGCAAACACAGGAGAATACATTATCTCACGGTTTCAAAATAAAAGCTCAAACCCTCACTCTTGAGTTTTCACACGTTTTGAAGACCACATATTCATTAAATTACAGTGGCTATAGCATCTCTGTCCTAAATAAATGGACAAATATTAAAGATTAAGTGGACATTTGAATTAAATGGTGCTTGGTCAATATTAAACAAGTCTTAGATCGTACAGTAATGTGTAAAAACAATCGTCAGGCCGGTGGCGCCCCCTGCAGGCTTTGTTGTAATGCGTGATGTCTCTAATGTAGCTCTGTTGTTTATAATGCATTGTATTTTAACAGTTTTGTTCAATAAAACCATATGATTTATTGCTTTTGATACTTTATTTGAACTTATTATTATTGCCTCATTGGTATTATATATGTATTTTAAGTCATTTTAAAGGCTGTTGTTCACTGCCAGTAGGTGAACCACAACATTTTTTTATTATAATTATAGGGCCCTATGAAATCCGTTTTTTTTTTCAAATTCATTTTTTTTTTATTTTCATTTTTCTATACTCCATTTTAATGGTTAAATAAAATTGTATTAATCAAAAAGCCTGTCTAATTAATTGAGTTTTACAGTTTTATCTTTACCAAATTCTGTTTTCCATTATTTTCTGGATTCCATGTTAATGGTTCCATTAAACCTTAATAATCAAAAGCATCTCCAATTAATTGATTTTATCTTTTAAAAAAGTATTTTATTTTTTTCAGAAATACTGCACATTTACCATTTTTCTTCTAAATAAATTCTGGTTAATAATATTTCTGGTAAATACTCCTTTAAAAAGTGTTTTTTGATTATAATTGTATTATTAGTAGACCAGAACAGGTGGATATGTTGTCATTCTTACACTATAATACTGAACTTTGATTTCAGTGATTTGGACTGTGAGATGGACACTTGCTTCTTGCACTCTGTTGCACTTTACTTTTTACTTTTGGATTTCATTTGGTTTAATGAAATATAGTTTAATAAAATATTCTTAAGTAAAATTGTTGATTTTTTTTGTGGGAAATTAATCGTTTAGATTCATCGATTAATCGATAAATTAGTCGATAGATGAATCAAACTAAAAATAGTCGTTAATGGCAGCCCTGATATACTGTTAAAGAAACAGAGCGCTTTCGTCTGGATATAGATTACAACTGCTCTTTCTGTAATTGTAAAAAAGAGTCTATTGTGCATTTATTTTTTGAATGTCCCTGTTCATCTTTGTTTTACTTCATTCAAATGAATATGACTTTTCTAAAAGGAAAATATTTATTATTGATCTGTTTTTGTTATTGGGAACATTTTATATTCATCAAACTAAATGAAGAAACTTAAAACCCAATTTTGCTCATTTTCTAACAGCCTTTAAAGCTAATTTAGCATCTATAAAGTCTTTAAAAAATCGTAAAGCCCAAAGAACTGTGACTCTGCTAAATGAATTTAAAATATGCTTGTGATGACCTTTTATTTATTTTTATTTTTTTTTATTATTATTTTTATTTTTAATTAGGCCTATTATTTTATTTATTTTTATTTTTTTATTAGAATTGTCTCAATTTGTACTTACAAAATGTGTAAATATGAGAAATATGTGAATAACTTGCTGTTGAATTTTGAAAGTAAAAAAAAAAGAGAAAGAAATATTACATTTCATTGTTAGTTTCCGTTCAAAAGAACCGGTTCGCAAAATGAATCACTTCCCGTCGCCGCCTTTCGTGGCTAAACACTGCGCAGCCACTGGTCGAATGGGTGCACTTCTTGGTAGGGGGTGCCAAACGCAGACTGCAATATCCGCGTATAAGGAGCGACAGTACTGTTTTCTCACTTGAAAGACTTGCCAGCTAGCATCCAAAGCGTTGCTGCCATAGTCCAAATGTATTTTCCTGTAATGATCTACATCATATTCTCCCCATCAAACTTGTTAAAAAATGATGGTGTAGGCTATAAACTTGGCCACCCATTTGTCCTCCCTTCTCACAATCACCGCGTCCTCTCGTTTATTTATTTATTATTATTATTTTTTCTTCCATCAAACGATTTTAAGTACCATTAAAATTATCTGGCGGCGTGAATAATAAAATGAAGCATTTCCCTTGGTAGGTGTGGAGTAAAGTGTGTAAGATGCTTTGTGGTAAGCTGTGCCATTGGCTCAGCTAATATTGATGGGTCCTATTCCAAA